ATCAAATTCTGTATTTTAGTATTCTAAGCTATTAACAATTCTGATTTACTTTGACTTTATTTCCAGTTCAGCTTTCTATTAAAACTTTCCAACTCTGTTGTAAGAGAGATCCAAACCATCTTAGAGTAGTCATCTCTAATAGACATAAAATCTTTTATCCATATTGGTTTGTGTACTAGCTGGTCGATCTCCTATGCCAAAGACAGGAATTGATGTAGGACAATCCTATTTTAAGTATGATTGGTTTTATCTCTTTTTTGTCTTCTTTCCTACTCTTTTTTTTCCTTATTTAGATAGAATTTCTTTCTCTTTTTTTATTAGAATATGGTTTCTTTTTTCTTTGTTTTTAGATTAGGATTTTGTTTCCCTCCAAGATTTTAGTTTTCTTTCCTTTTAAGATTTTAGATTAGTCTCCTTATATTAGTAAGATTAGAAAATTATTTGCACATAAATAAGGTTTTGTATGCTTTTCAATACAATCAAACTATTTTTACAAACTCTTCAAGTTTTAATTCTTCCTTCTAGTATGCAAGAAAGCAATTTTGCTTTCACAACAAATTTGGTATTAGAGCAAAGTTTTTATTGGGCTAAAGGCTACCTATGGTGGTACAAGTAAGCATCCTCGTGATGATGATTGGAGGATTGAAAAATTTTTAGTATTAGTTCAAAATCTAGAACAAACGATAGATATGTTTGAAGTCTTAGCTGACAAGAATTTGTAGACTTTGATTTCTATGAATGTTTTTAGCTTCAATGAACCTAGAACACGACTACAAGTGGCTAGACTAATTTTGAATACACACAAGTTAATATGGATACTACGAAGATATATCAAGGAGATAAGGAGCCCAATCTGAAGCGAGAAAGATTTTTAGAACACGATGTACTATCAACAACAAAGTATGCAATGTGATAATAAACCATTTAGTGAGAACATGGTATCCAAAGCATTGGATAAAGCTTTAAATTTGAAAATCAAAAAATATTCACCTTTTTATCAAGTTCCACTAGTTAAAAAAGAGTAAGGAATTCAAAATGTGGAATACGACAAAGATGAGATTGTGCATAATGAGGTAGAGATTGATGATTGTCATGTACGTTAAGGATAACCATTATACTAGGATGTAGACGTAACTTACATAGATTGAGATAACATGTGCATTAGCCAGTCTTCTCTTCTAGGAAGAAGCAGTAGCAATATTTGGGAATTATTTTGTCTATATAAACAAATGCCGTGTACATTTTTCAACCACTTTACAGTACAATCAAATTATTTTTCTGAACTCCTAAGAGTTTTTAATTTTTGTTATTGTTTTCAAGAACCCAATTCCCCCTGTACCACGAATTATACACTATTGGTTTTATCATTAATATGGATATTTACTTGATGAGGCAACATATACCTCACCAAGGTTCTTTGTTACAACTTCAGCTACATTTCCATGTTCTGTAGCTTTTTCTTTTTCCTCATACTTTTTCTTATAACAATCTGCAACGAGATAACCTCTTTTTCCACAGCCATAACATTGTTTACCTTTAACTCTAGACTTAAACCTGAATGTGTGCTTATTTTTGTCCTTTCTATTATAATCATTGAGCGTCATCATTTCTAATTAATGTCCTTGATAATGCATCTTTGTTATTGTATCTTACCCCCCCCCCCCCCCCCCCCCC